AGAACAATATCATGGGTGTCGATCCGTAACTGATACCTATTCATCAGGGGAGGATGATCTATTCATTCATCCCCCCTGATGAATAGGTATTACGTAAGGATCGACACCCATGAACAATATATAGACTTATCCGCTTTTCAAAGTGCCCCTTACACCCCCCCCCCCCCCTCTCTTGAGCTGATAGGAGTCAAGAGACTAAAAATTCACCAATGCATCTGCAAGTTTTTGGTCAGGCCGGGCGCCATCCCATTCCCCCTCGTGTTTCACATGCCCCTCGTACATAGTATTCTCTTTCCCAAATGTGCTATTCCCATACTCTCTCTCTCTCTCTCTCTTTCTTTCTCTTTCACCCTCTCCTCCCCTCACTTCCATCTTTCTCCTCCCCTAGCTCCCGTCCCTCTCATTTCACACTCTCTCATTTTATAATAAGTGTAAAAAGGGACTTTCAATCGTTAATAATTCAACATTTAAAACTAATATCAGAACATTGCACATAGTAAAGTTGAAGGCAATCTATTTCTTTGCAGTGTAAAATATTATGACGTTTCTTCAAATACTATATGGCTTCTCTTGTACCACTTTGAGGTCTGAAACCAAACTGCATGTTCCTTTAATACCGGCTTCTTTTTTAATTCCAGCTAATGCGATCTTCAACAGAGAGAAACTTGGTTACACGACTCATAAAGACCAATTAGGTAGTCCTCAAATCTTCACGTACACTTGCTTTTGGTTTCTTAGGGATTGGCACATAACATTATTCCTCAGGAATATGTCCTGTGTTGTATATATTCTGACATAATTATGTTGGTCAAATATTCAATACCAGATTCTTTTAGGCTATCAAGTTTTTCTCCCGTCATCCCATCTGGACCTTCAGCTTTAGAAGCTCTCAGTGAGTGTAGAGCATGTTCTTCTTCTGATTTAAGAATGTTTGGACCATCATCACCAATGATTTGGCATTCTGGGCCCCATCTTATAAAGAGTTGCATTTGATTCAAATCAATGGCAACTTAAACTTAATTGCAACTCCCATCTCTTAAAGGTAAAGACCAGTTATGGTCATGCGATTGTATTGTGAAAAAAACGTTGTGGAATCGATCAGAAAAGGTTGATCATCTAGCATCTAGCATCTGTAAGGTTCTGGAATCATCAAAATGATAAGAAATTTGGCCCATTCTTCATAAAGTTACAAACACTATACACAGAAAGATGTATATGGGACTACCCTATATCTCTCACAGACCATGAGAGAAACAAATTTACCAAATATATGAATTAGTAGGCGGTTTCCCGGCAAATTTTTTATCATCATGTATTAGTCAAAACATATTCTTTCACATGATTGGTAATGAGAGATTCCATTACATTTTTTGAAATTGGGGCGTTTCCAATACTGGTCTTTACCTTTAAGTACATTTGCAATTTATTTGAATCAATCACAACTCTTTATAATACAGGGCCCTGCATGGACCTCTTTAGTCATCAAATAGGTCATGGGTATATTATTCCATTTTCTGTTCTTCATGTCTCCTTGTTCAAGGAGGGAAGTTGTTCCATCTTTGCTTTTGTTAGACCTGCTCGCTGCCGTGTTCTCTTCTTTTTAAAATGCTGATCTCTTCTCTCTCTGCACATTTAACTTGTTTGGTGTGTCATAGAAAAATACAAAATACAAAAATACATGACTTTGTTTTAGAAGTTGTTCGTAATTGTTTCTGTTTTTGTTTGCGAGGCACATGTGATATTACTTGACGAAACACCCCCCCCCCCCTCCACCTGTGAAAGTTGAAGTAAATGGAGTAAGAAATGCCTTTATATAATCTAGCAAATAAATAGAGATTCTGTTTACAACTGGAAACATTAAGATACACTGTCTAAATAAACTACTGTAGTAAATCCAGAAATAAAGACGCATGCTCAAGTATATACTGTTCAGTCATTCTGCTTTATTCAAGTCGAAGCAATCAATATAAAACATACGACAGAACAGTGTTATATTCCAAATCTACCTTAACATCTACGGTTATATTCTAAATTGACAGCTCCATATATATTTTGTTTACAGTAGAACCCAGGGGTGATACCAGCCATGAACCCAAAGCATACACATTATGATTTTGGGTCCCCTATCCAAAGACACTGCTCAAATCTTTGGATACTTCCAATGTGAGATAATATTCAAAACAACTACCAATTCGATGTCAGATTGGAATGTGCTTTACAAATGTGCTATACAAATGAACTGAACAAAGTGCTGGTTGCCCCATAATCACAACTTTCATCCATGTGCCATATGAAATAGTTGACCGCTTCAAGTTACTGCTGCAGCAATATGATATTCTCTTTTGCAAGTAAATGAATAGTAATAGGTGATGCTGTAGAGGTAAGAAATAAACAGCTGGGCATTACAATTAAAGGCCCCTATGCAAACCCAATAAGCTGTGTGCTATCCTGCGTTATGATCCCTTAAAGGTAAAGACCAGTTATGGTCATGCGATTGCATTGTGAAAGAAACGTTGTGGAATCGATCAGAAAAGGTTGATCATCTAGCATATAAGTATTGGTGTGTACTGCAAGGTTCTGGAATCATCAAAATGATAAGAAATTTGGCCCATTCTTCGTAAAGTTACAAGCACTATACACAGAAAGATGTATATGGGACTACCCTATATATCTCACAGTCACATAGATATACTAATTTACCAAATACATCAATTAGTAGGCGGTTTCCCGGCAATTTTTTTATCATCATGTATTAGTCAAAACATATTCTTTCACATGATTGGTAATGAGAGCTTCCATTTCATATTTTGAAATTGGGGCGTTTCCAAAACTGGTCTTTACCTTTAATATCACTTTGCTGCATCATGAGTGCAACACTAATTGAAGACTTAATTGCTAGCAATCTACTACTGGTAATTTAGGCAGCCTTTACCTATACCATACGTTAATACAGTAGTCAAACATTCAACCAGAGCCAGGGGGGTGTTTCATCAACTAAAATTGATTTCGAAATCTAATTTCGATTGTAAAAGTCTATTTTAAGGCTTGATGAAACACCCCCTGGTAAAAGGAATCATCATGCAATGAACTCAACACAGAAGGATCTCTGTGACATCATGCAAAATATGAGACTAGTACTGGAATAGACCTTCTCAGCTTCTTCAGGTTAATAAGCAGTGTTTTATTAGGAATCTACCTCAACATCTATGGCAATTTTCTACATTGACAGCTACATATGTTTTTTACAGCAAAACCTGGAACCGATACCAGCAAGGAACCCAAAGCATACACATTATGATTTTTAGTCCCCTTTTAAAGATAAAGTTGAGTTCAGGTCATGTGATTGCATTGTGAAAGAAACGGTGTGGAATATCAGAAAGAATTGATTATGTAGCATATAAGTATTGGTGTGTACTGCAAGGTTCTGGAGTCATCAAAATGAAAAGAAATTTGGCCCAGTCTTGGTAGAGGAACAAGCACTGCACACAGAAATAAGTACATGGGACTACACAAATATGTGGCATAAAAATCAGGCCTCATTTTTAAGCTGTTACTTGTCATATTTAGAATATTAAGACATTTGAAGAGCCATGCTTTTCAGGGAACATTTTTTCTCTGATGTTCTTCCACACTTGCAATGATAACGTTCACAAATTATTTTTCACCTCTTCCCAAAACTCAACCTTCTCTTTAGAGAAACTGCTCAAATCTATGGATATTTACAATGTCAGATAATATACAAACAAAAAATGTTTCTACTTAATAAAAACATACATACATTGAACATCAAGCAAAAAATAGGAATATATTTAGGATACAAGAACATGTATAAGTGAATTCAACTTAAAATGTATGATGGGTTGACCAAATTTATTTTAAAAAATAGGAATGTGATATTTGACCCAGGATTTCGCATATTCTATACAAATTTGTTGAGATCAATTAGTACCAAATGAATATCCAAATTGTAGATTTCAAATGGGTACAACTAGCAATTTGATGTCAGATTGGAATGTGCTTTACAAATGAACTGAACAAAAGAAAACAATGAGTCCTTAAATCGAGTACGAGAGTTTACAAGTGATATATAAACAAAAAGCGATCCATCAATAAATTGCAAGTCAAAATATCGTACAATCAGCTGGTATGACTTTCTACTTGCTACTTTGATGACATATTCTCTCAAAATGCCACAAGGTTCATATTTTTATCGGAACGGACGCAAAAGACTGCAAAATTTGCTGATCTTTTGTCAATATTTTCATAATTTCACTCCTATTCCAAAGAACTTTGTCTGTAGGTCATTGTATGTTCCACTTTCCATTGTAATATCAGATTTTCAAAATCTTAGTTTAAAAAAAATATGGATCTGTTCGCGAATTAAAGGTCATGCACGAACTATGGTCACAAACATATAAATGTGTGTTGTACAGTGTTTTTACAAAATGTACCTACAGTACAGTGTAAAGCTACAATCTGAAACATATAACCTTAACAAACCCTTTAAAACTAGGAGCAGTATATACATTTAAAGGTACTACGTCCCTTTTGCAGCCAACCTCAAATGCTGTAGAACTTTGCAGGAATTATGAATATGTCATGTATGTCCTATCTGTGAAATTTAAACGTTAGCAGTGTCCTCATATTCAAATTATGCAATGAAACCCGTTTACTTGCTAGACTTCAATGTCAGACACTATTGAGTGACTGACTGGCTGTTTTTTCTTCTTTGGTCATAACATGCATGAAAAGAGTTGTAAAGGGTACATGAGCATTTGTCTACATCAATTAAACTGATTGAATCTTTGCGCAGCATAAAACGTATGACCATTCGGTACAATTGTCTGAAAATCAAGACTATTACTTTTGGGCTCTATAGCCCTAAAGTCGATTTGACAATTAATAGTCGTTATTTTCCCACTGGAAGACATTTTCAAGCCCCACCTTTTTTAGGGAAGTTCTAAATTAGTATTATCTTTCAAATGCAGTTGGAATTTAACTTTTTCATTTTTTTGGCCTGCAAATGGGACATAGTACCTTTAAACCTGTATCCACCAAATAAATAGAATTTGTTTACAACCTCAAACATTAAGATACACTCTCTAAATAAACTACAAATTCACATCTGATCACGGGGGCTCCTTTAATAGGGAATGTTGTTGTAAAACTGTGATTTTCAAAATCTTACAGATATGGAACTGTCCGCGAATTAAGGGCACGCACAAACTATGGTCACACCACCTTACATGTACATGTGTGTTGTACAGTGTATTAACAAAATGTACCTACAGTGTAAAATTACAATCTGAAACATTTACGGTAACCATCACAAACCCTTTAAAACTAGGAGCAGTATATACATTTAAACCTGTATAGAAAGACCACCAAAAGGAGATATAAAAAGTAGTCTCTCTAGCTAGGTACATGGGCTTGACATGTTTACATTAACACATGTTTTAGGGGAAACATAATATATGTTAACCAACCTCAAACATTAAGATACATTCACTCTCTAAATAAACTACAAATTCACATCTGATCACGGGGGCTCCTTTAATAGGGAATGTTGTTGTAAAACTGTGATTTTCAAAATCTTACAGATATGGAACTGTCCGCGAATTAAGGGCACGCACAAACTATGGTCACACCACCTTACATGTTCATGTGTGTTGTACAGTGTATTTACAAAATGTACCTACAGTACAGCGTTAAGCTACAATCTGAAACATTTAACAATCACAAACCCTTTAAAACTAGGAGCAGTATATACATTTAAATCTGTATAGAAAGACCACCAAAAGGAGATATACAAAGTGTTCTCTCTAGCTAGGCACATGGTCTTGACATGTTCACATAAACACACATTTTAGAAGAAACACAAGATGTGTTAAAGCATGTTTGACTGTACATCATTCATACTTATACAGTAGGGTTAAGTAAACTACATGTATTATCAAGACGTGTTGTATACAAATATACACTGTCTTGAGAGGTTCTGGTTAAAACTACTTGAGGTTTCCAACTGGTTTTCTAACGAATCCAAATTCATCTTACTCTAGCTCGAACTAGCTCTAACGTCAACGATTAACATATTTTACAGTGTCTCAAACGTTAAACGAACAATGTTTCAAACATATTCACATCCTTCAATGTTTCATTCATCCACAACAGTTCCATTTTAATAGCTGTATGGTGAATTTTTACAACAAGTAGACCAAATGAAACATTGAAGAATGTATTATTAGCTGAGGCTATACAGGTATTGCGGCTCAGCGTAAATTGCATGACGTGAGCGCCGTGACACCGCGGGAGTTGCCCGCTGGAGACATTTGAATTCCCGTATGCATGCTGAATTTTCAACTCCCACATAGTACTCCCAAATAGTACTTCTACTTCCAAACAGTACTTCTACTTCCAAACAGTAATTCTACTTCCAAACAGTACTTGTACTTCCAAACAGTACTTGTACTTCCAAACAGTACTTGTACTTCCAAACAGTAATTCTACTTCCAAACAGTACTTGTACTTCCAAACAGTACTTGTACTTCCAAACAGTACTTCTACTTCCAAACAGTAATTCTACTTCCAAACAGTACTTGTACTTCCAAACAGTACTTGTACTTCCAAACAGTACTTGTACTTCCAAACAGTACTTGTACTTCCAAACAGTACTTGTACTTCCAAACAGTACTTCTACTTCCAAACAGTACTTGTACTTCCAAACAGTACTTGTACTTCCAAACAGTACTTGTACTTCCAAACAGTACTTGTACTTCCAAACAGTACTTCTACTTCCAAACAGTACTTGTACTTCCAAACAGTACTTCTACTTCCAAACAGTACTTGTACTTCCAAACAGTACTTGTACTTCCAAACAGTACTTGTACTTCCAAATAGTACTTCTACTTCCAAACAGTACTTGTACTTCCAAACAGTACTTGTACTTCCAAACAGTACTTGTACTTCCAAATAGTACTTCTACTTCCAAACAGTACTTGTACTTCCAAACAGTAATTCTACTTCCAAATAGTACTTCTACTTCCAAACAGTACTTGTACTTCCAAACAGTACTTGTACTTCCAAACAGTACTTGTACTTCCAAACAGTACTTCTACTTCCAAACAGTACTTGTACTTCCAAATAGTACTTCTACTTCCAAACAGTACTTGTACTTCCAAACAGTACTTGTACTTCCAAACAGTACTTGTACTTCCAAATAGTACTTCTACTTCCAAACAGTACTTGTACTTCCAAACAGTAATTCTACTTCCAAATAGTACTTCTACTTCCAAACAGTACTTGTACTTCCAAACAGTACTTCTACTTCCAAACAGTACTTGTACTTCCAAACAGTACTTCTACTTCCAAACAGTACTTGTACTTCCAAATAGTACTTCTACTTCCAAACAGTACTTGTACTTCCAAACAGTACTTGTACTTCCAAACAGTACTTCTACTTCCAAACAGTATTTGTACTTCCAAACAGTAATTCTACTTCCAAATAGTACTTGTACTTCCAAACAGTACTTGTACTTCCAAATAGTAATTCTACTTCCAAATAGTACTTCTACTTCCAAATAGTATTCCTAAATAGTACTTTTTCAGAGCAACTATAAAAAAGTTTAAATGATTCTGGTCACGTAAAGAGCTCTCAACCAATCAAAAAACAATAAATTTTGTATGCAGGATATAACACCCATGGGTGGTATTCTGATCAGCAAGATTTCATCTCCCAAATATGTAGGTAATCTCAGACCACTTTATATCTCAGATTTTATCTTTAATTTCCTCTTAATCTCTTTCTTCTCCTGAAACTATAGTAATAAACATGCGCGACTCTAACGCTATTGCCCATCTCATTTTAGGTGAAAGTTGGAAAAAAAAATGAAGATACGGAAGGGGCTATTATATCTTTCCGATTTACAGGGAGATTACAGAATTGCTAATGTTTAATACCCAACTGAAAAATAAAAGAAAACTCCCTCCCCTAAAAAAAAAAAAGGAACAAATGATGAAAAAAAAGGCCTTGAAATTTAAAGAGAAAACTTGGTGGCTCCTTCATCATCTCCTCGTTCAGCTTTAGATAGATCGTTCAGGACAAAATGGTCCCTTCCCGATGTCATCCATGGGTACTTGTTCCATTGATTTGTCTGCATACAAGGGGTTAAACATAACAGTGAAATTTGAATCCCACAAAAATGTGGAGTAAGGGTGGGGGATTTAAGCACAAAAAGATTTGAAAACTGATTTTCTCAATCAGTTGTATTTTGTTCTCTTGAAATTGTCCCCTATTCTACCTGAATATTAAGGTGACACCAACAAACAGCACAAATTGAGGATAATTTAAAGGTAAAGATTAGTTATGGTCATGCGATTGCATTGTGAAAGAAACGTTGTGGAATTGATCAGAAAAGGTTGATCATCTAGCATCTAGCATCTGTAAGGTTCTGGATTCATCAAAATGATAAGAAATTTGGCCCATTCTTCGTAAAGTTACAAGCACTATACACAGAAAGATGTATATGGGACTACCCTATATCTCTCACAGACCATGAGAGAAACAAATTTACCAAATATATGAATTAATAGGCGGTTTCCCGGCAAATTTTGTATCATCATGTATTAGTCAAAACATATTCTTTCACATGATTGGTAATGAGAGCTTCCATTTCATTTTTTGAAATTAGGGCGTTTCCAATACTGGTCTTTACCTTTAATATAATAAATAGTAAAATGTGATACAATAAAATTCAAATGTCTTCTCTTGTATAATTTGTAGAGGTTATATTGAATGTTTTTAATAAATGAAATTTCCAAAGTTATTGTTGATTTTAATATCAAAAGAAAAGTCTGTTTATGCAAATGAAAGACAAAAAATTGAATATTATTTGAAGAAAAATAGGATACACAAACATTTTTTGTTGTTGTCACCATTAGTGTTTCAAAGTTCTTGTTACTACATCGCATTTGAAAAAAGTACACACTTTGAAAATATCCCCCAAAATGATATTTTCATGACATCTGCATGATTTTTTCATACAAAAATATTGATGAGGGTCTATTCAATCAGATGGCACTCAAAGTATCAACAAAATATCTTGAGTAAGTCCTGGAAAATTTAGAAAAACTTAAGGAAAATTGGTTTGCACAAAAAATGTCTTGAATTGGAGCAATTAAAGTGCACATGGGCATCAATTGCAGTTGCTCTGCTAACTGTCAATCAGGCGCGGGGCTAGGGTGCAATTAAATCCTTGAAAAGTCGTAAAAGCTTTTGAATTCGTAGCTCTGTTCAAAGAGAGGAGAAATCATCAAAATTTCACCTTAGCTTATCTCCCTTATTTTGGCCCAAAAAGTCATGAAAATTTCAGAGCACATACAGATTAATATTATTCTCCAAATAAATTTTCATTCAAAACTGTTGGGTGTTTTTAAAGATATGTACTTTTCTGTTTCAGAGGTGGGTGAAAAGAGGCAAAAAATGTTTTGCCATGGGTTTGTCCATGACATTGCCTCCTCTTTTTTTCCAGACATAAAAAAAGGGGCTGTAATTGACTTTTCATCTGGAGATTTCTTTAAAAAGGGGGTGTTTTTTTTTCTACTCTCTGTATGGATTCACGAGAAATTTAAAAAGGGGGTTATAAAATATCTTGAATATCATAGATCGGGGGTTACATTGAGCAGTGTTCCGATTTTAGGGGGTCTCTAAGTCAGGAAAAGCCAGGGAAAGGGGGGATCGGAAATGTTGGCAGCCCTGAGATAGAGAGTTGCTTTCAAAGGGAGGGAACAAGCCTACGCGTACCCTAAATAACACTGAGGGGGGGGGGGGGCGGGGTGCATGCACTTGCACATTACATAGGAGATTATTGTCTCCTCTGCACTGAATATATATTTTTGTCTTTAGCATTTTGACAAAATGTAATGCAGTACGAAAGATGTACAGAAGTTGTTCAATATTTATAAAATAAAAACATGTAATTTGTTTCCTATGTTTGGAACATCTCTTTCATCTAATTTTCATGATTCTTTGCTGTCTGGAGCAAGTGGGAAACATGCAGTGTAATTAAGGCATCTTTCACATCCATGTTTAATTACATAAAACAAAGCATTACCTTTGCAGGTAATAGGTTTCCTGGCTTTGCTAAATTTCTAATTCAACATGCAACACCTTGTTTCTTGGGTATGTGAGTTTAAGATGAATTACAAATTTAGAGAAGAAAAACATGTGAAAATGATAGGATCTTTGCTGTCCCTTTATTCAATCATTCCAATTAACACTGTCTAGAAAAAAGTGAGTACTGATGCTGATGATCTGTGCTAGAAAGACATCACCTGCAAAGTCATAGGCGGTGATGGGGCAGTGACGTATCCAGCATTGGGTGAAGCTAGTGTAGCTTCTTGAAGAGCCAAGAAAAACTTAGTGACTTGTTATATGGGTACAAGAAAGGGGCTGCCCAACATTTACTGAACCAAAGTCTTGGGAGGATGCCGCCCCTCTCCCTTATCAATTTCTGGATATGCCACTGGGGGTATATATGCACGGCTAGGTTCTAGTATAGGGTTAAAGATCAAATGCCTGCTTTTCACTTTGATCCAATACAAGAATGAAACATTTTTGTGCAAACAATTTTTTGCAAGCTTTTCGAAATTAGCCGGTGCTCACTCAAGCATACAATATTGCCAATAATTTAAGTGCCATCTGATTGAATAGACATTCACCAATAGTTCATAATATATTATGCAGATACATGCATCATGAAATTCAATTTTTTTTTTAAAGGATATTTTCAATGAGCGTACTATTTTTGATATGCAATGTAGTAGATTCTATATCTTGAGGACACAAAAAGAAAAAAGAAGAAAAAAAGAAAGAAAAAACCAACCTAATAACAAATCAAGCTCTACTACTATCCCTGCCGCTTAAACTTACTTCTGCAACATAGGAAGTAGGCCAGAGTTAAGATCACAATTATGGCCAGAATTATGGCCAGAATTATGGAGGCATTCTTCCAGTATGTAGAATCGGAACCTGAAGAAAAAAAAGGAATAGCAATTTTAAAACACACAATCTTTAAAACCAAATGAATATATAAGTGGTAAAAATTACATGAAACATGTATATATGCACCAGTTTTAACAAATTGCTCTCAAGAGATCATTAATATAATATCTTTTGCATCTTGCATAATCAATCAAGCTCATCAAAATCTGACGCGGAAGAACAAACTTAACTATTTCAACTAGATGGATGTTCAACTGCATGCAGTCGAAAATGATGCCTCCGCCATAGAGCGATTTTACAAACCAAAACAGAAGCAATTTTAAAAATTAAAGTTTGATGTAATCCATTAACAGATTCTCAGAATATTATGATTACAAGCTATTTTTCTACAGTAGGCTTGCGGTTGCACGGCATGTGTGAGAGGGGGAGGATTGGGGAGTCCTGAAAAGGACTGTTGGTGTAGTCATGAAAAAGACTGTTGGTTATCTTTCTTAGCTTATAGTTCTAAGGAGAACTATAGCGCTGGTTGGAGAGGATGGGTGGTAGGAGTGCCTCAAACTGTTTTGAACAGGTTGACTATCCGTCGTCAGGAGCCTACTAAGCTCACTGTATATCTACATCACCATGCAAGCCGATACTTATAAGCAGCATCTAAGCTATTTTTCATATACATGTATGACCCTTTGAACTTTGACCTCATGACCCTAAAAGCTAATCAGTTCATTGGCTCTGCAAGATACATACATGACCAGAAAATAACCAGAAAACATAATAATAATAATAATACATAAGATTTATAAGGCGCCAAATCCACTTGACAGTCAAATGCTCAAGGCGCAGCTACTTTGTAGCGGAGGCATATAAAGGATACTGTATTCACCGTATGCGCTTTTAAGGTTTGCTGTAATGAATATACTTGTAACTTTTCTGAGGAAAAAGAATATATGCAGAATCATTATTCTCTTGCTTTCAACCTCTGAAATATAACTATCAATGGCGTATCTGGGGTTGGCAACAGGTGAGAGCTTTTTACATTTTTGGAGGTGTATTCTCACAAGTCGTACAACTCAATCAACATGGCAAAATACATGGGAGATGGGGAAGCAAGGAAATTGTGAACTTTGGAGAGATAGGTTTCCTTGCTGAGTAATCAAATATGTATAGGAGTAATTTTACAGATTAACTTCAGCAATATGATGATACATGATGGCAATTAGTTATGAAAATTCAATTAACTCAACAGCAATTTCAATAACCTGTAGTATATCTTATGACAGAAATCATGGTAAGATTACGCTAGAATTAATTATTAATGCCAAAATTGACATTTCTACAAGTTCTAGTACCACTTCTGTTGCAAAGATTGTGCAAACTACATGCAAAATTCACATACACTATCCCAACTTTTACTTTAATAATTATTGTAATTAATTTGCGAACATGCACTTACCGATTTCGCAGTTAGCTCCGTTGTAGCCTTTTGCACAGTTGCAGGTGTATGAGTCATGTCCATCCACGCACATTCCTCCGTTCACACACGGGCTAGATGCGCATTCATCAATGTCTAAAAATAATATACAAATTATGGTTTTATCATCATTTTTAAATATTTGTGCAGCTGTTATCATCAATTTATTGATGTTGTCACATATATTATATACATGGTTGAAAAAATAACACTGCTGTCAGGTGCAAGGCTTTTTTCCATCGGTCTGTACATGTAAGGTATATCCACAAATATGTACCCAAACAAAACTATAGATAAATAAGGTTACAACCAACATACCAAGGATTACACAGATAAAATTAGAGAAAAAATTTACAATGAAGGAGAGGAAAATTATGATGTGCAATATTATCAGATTATCATCTAATAATTCTTGTTTTCTTATAAAACTTTTGAAAATAAATTTGCCATTTTTGTTGTTGTTAATACAAAATGATTACCGTAGCTAATGACAGGTAAATAATAAGAAAGAACATAAAAAAAAATTTATGAACATTTTTAATTGTATGCAACAATAAGGTGTAGGAGTTATTTCACAATCTTCTTTAACGGCTGACAATTAGGAATAACGATATCCATTCTATTTGTTGAATGTCATTCTCCTTTAAAAACACAACAATATCTGTTGAAGGGAAAATATTACCTTGATTCTTGTACACGACCAGAAAGTAAAGGGAGAAGTTTCCTGGGGCTTGTTGATAGATGCAGAATCTTGTGTGGTCATGGGTCAGTTTTGATCCATCTACAGCAAGGTGAGTGTGAGTCTCATTTTCAAAGATCCGCAATCCTCCACACTCAGTCTTACTCTTGTCCCCCACGACAACGTTGCAATTTTGATTATTTTCCACAAAATCTGAAGTACAGTTGTAGCTTCTAGGGTGATTTCCACCACTTGCAAAGATCAAGTAGCTTTGGGCTTGAGGAACTGGGTCAGTGGCAGCTATAGTCTTGTTGGTCGCTATAGAAACATACCTAGAGGGCTTAAGTTTAACTTCAACTGTAGAAAGTCAAGAAAAATGAAAAAACAAAAACAAATGTTTTAATAAAATTAACAAGATCAATGCGATTGCGTATCAAATATGCCTCTGCCTAAATTCTGTTTAAGATACTGGCTTGACTTTTTCTTGGAAAATCACAAAGAGAACCAAATGCCTATATATATATGTCATTTGATCTTTACGACCTTTGTCCTTTGACCTGAAATTGATTGGATTTCTTTGGATCTCTCTGACATAAAAACAACGACTACAAAGCAGACATATTCTAATTCATAAAAATTGTATCTCCCGTTGGTTACCAGATCTCACCTCTATCCTTTCTTCTGCCATGAATGAAGATCCTTTTCCTTCGAGACATTTGTATGAACATGAACGTTCACAACACGTTTGTCTTTGTGCATAAAACAACCGGGTACTTGAACATTACATGCATATACATTTCTTCTATTACAAACTTTTTGCTTGAATCTTGTTATTTTAACTATTTAAAATGAATTTTAAACACAGTTCATACCTCCTTTTCCATAAGCTCCTGATAACAACATTCCAAACGTTATTAAAAGGTACATCCACTTGTTCTTGGGCTCATAAGCATTCAGGATGCAAACCTTGGCTGCCAACTCGGTGATCCATGTCTGTGAAAGAAAAATACACAAAAGGCATTACTAGTTTTACTACCATTATAATAACTTAGGTGTCAACTTGTAAAATGTAAATATTCATTGAAACCACCATCCAACATCACTTTCTCATAATTTACTTCATGCCTTTTTAAAAATCCTTTCAGTAAAATTGTTTCTCTTTTGCCCTACCAGGTGTCAAAATAAAATGCATTGATTAATGTTTTTCCTAGCTGCGTGAATATTCATGCATAGCTTTCCATTTGCCCTCTGAACTCTCTAATTCTTATTCAGATGCGAAGTCTGGATGCGCGCATTCCTTTTCCTGTGTTCCGTCATAGGAATGTAGATATGCAAATTTAACACAAGCGCTCATGTGACTGGGTTTGGGAGAGTGTGAATGTGTACGTGTTATACGTTAGCGAGAGTGGTGGGCAGAAGCCATTTTGTTGCGAGTAGAGAAGGACCTGCTGTGTCGCCCTTGGGGAGGGAGTACGTATGACAGTGAAGGGAGGATTTTTGGGCTTGCTGTTCAGAGCGAGTGTGGTCCTCTTTTTTATTGCTGCTTTCTCATTCTGCTGTTGAGAGCGGAAAGGGCAGACGACCGTCCTTTGGACACGATCCCTCCGGGAGGCAGGCAACGGGGTCTTCAATCTACAGAATAACTGTAAGTCTTACCTTTAAGCTCAATTTTCACTTTATTCACATTTATGACCCAGTTTTATGCCCTATAGTGTAAACAAATGCCTGGAGAAATGTTTCTAGATGTTGCATATGAATATTTGTCCTTAAGTAATTTAATTGGGATTTGTGTCATGTGAAACGACACAATAGATGTTTGAAATATTTATTGTTTTTGTAAGTGCCTTTTTTCCGGCAGACACGGAAAGTCAGCCATTTTGAATGTCAGCCATGCTGGAAGGTAGCCATCTTGAATTTTGATGCAAACAGAATGCATTAACTGTTTCCGTTATAAACATATTTCTAAAAGTCAGAAATAATTTGAAATGTTATTAGCATTATTTACAAAGGCTGGTATGAGATACTGGAAAGGAAGTTTCTGTCTTTAGATATGTTAAAGCTAACTGATTTTGTGTATTTCTATTAATGATGTTTAAGTCAACATTGTATGTTTATATTGTGAGAAAGTCCTTACATTTTAAGAACATTTGTTGATGTATTTTTGTATCAAACTAATATGATAGGATACCATGTTTATTATTGTTTAATAATTGTATTACAGCCGTTTAGGGTGGTGATCAACCACATTCCATTGATCGACTCTACGAAGTACAAGAGACCGTTTTAGACTGTTTTCTACCCTGCAATATGGTGAACTCATCACGAGCCATCGAGCCATTCGACCCAGTTCTCGTCCTACATGATTCCACGGTCATCTAACGCGGTGGACATTTTCGCGCACACAATCGTCTGACGCGGTGGACTTTGTCACGAACTCCAACGTTCGTAACGCGTTATCCTTTGAACGAACACTGGTTTAGTATAATGGCAGCCTTAATTTAATTGACCCTCTTAGGAAATAATAAGCTGATATATTTTTGATTTGTCAACGCTCAATATTTGTGAATTTATGTTGCATCTCGTTGTATTGTGTAATTAAAATCCACACTATCATATTACAACTCATTCCTTGATTGATTGTTTTTATATGTGTGTATCGCCACTTAGCCAACCACAATCCTTGTGACACCAGAGAAACGGTTTTGGACTTGGTGCCTGGGTATATGATAATGACTTCTAGGATATCGGCACATTATTGGCAGAGCTGCCAACCTCCAGAACAGAAAATCAGTAATCACAAGGCTCAAAATCAGTAATTTCCTATGCAGCGCTATGAATCTAAAAATAAACAAGCTTTGATGGGTGCAAAAATACTGAATAATATACATGTATGTACATTTGCAGATACCTTGCGTTTGCGTTTCTTATTTGAGCATGGAAGTGACCTATCCTTCCCCTTCGATGTATTCTGTTCTGATGCAGCAATTTCTTCTGATTTCTCCTTCAAGCCTGGGGAATTCTTCCGACTTTCTTTCTCCTCACATGGGCTGACAAATAAATAAAAAATTGATACTTAACAACAAGTGTCAGAGTATCACTGCCATGTACACCAATCAAAGTTACCAGACTAAATTAAGGAAACAATTCTGTTAAACTTTCACCAATAGACAACTTCTAAATTGACAATGAATATATGCATGTACTATATTTGCCAGGTATCTTAAAAACTTGCAACAGAAAATATAACAATACAAATAATACCATGAGTCCAATAAGCCCCCGCCTAAATTCAGTTAAGGTCCTGGCTTGAATTATTATTGGAATATCATGATGAGAACAAAAAAGCCTTTAATTATAAGTCAATTGATCTGTATGACCTTAGAACTTTGACATGACAAGCTGAAAATGTCCTCACTTGTCCCCCAACACTGATGCATACTAGTAACAGGTTTGAAATTGCGCTTCAAAATTATCATGAAGTCCTCAAAAAGTAAAAATCTTTGAGTGACCGATTTTTTCCATACTCATTTTCCCCATTAGATGGTAGTGTTATAAAAACCGTTGGGAAAACGGTTTTTGAAATTTCAATTTCCAATCACAAATATAATCTTGATAATCAGCGAACGTAGCCACGATCGGCAGTGATTTCAAAGTTGTCTTGCCTTCTGAGCAAATTTTTCCATGTACCATGCTTTATAGGGTTTGTTGGGAATTTTACCCAAGTCACATCTCTCATACAGGGATATCTCAAAAAATGTTTTCATTCAATATCGTGCGACCAGCACACAACAGATTCACAGAATTGCACCATATTTCAACTGACAATTCAGTTTCTAAAAGTAGAAAATTTCTTCTGATATATGTACTATCAAATGGAACCAAAGATGAAGTGAGAGGTACCATTTGTTTCAAAGTGTCAAACCAGCAAATAAGTTAATTCATAATGCAAATATTTGTGTTTCTCAAGATTTGTCAGGTCTAATTTCAAACATCCTTCATCATTTGGTGCAAGTTTTTATATAATCTACTAACCTGCTTCTTTTCAGGGAGATCAGACATGGCCACCCATGTGCTGTTTCTTCAGGTCCCTCTTTTACCACCCCTTGAGATTAGAATAAAAGAAGAAAACGGAAAACATTAGCACAGGCATACATATCACAAACCCAACCTTTTCAAAGCTTAGTAAAAGACCTGATTCCATTTACAATGTAGGTTATGAGATTGTTATAAGGCCTAATCCTCAATGGTCAATAAATAAAGTATCTCTCATGTCATTAACATGTCCATGGGACTACATTTGCAAGAGATACAGGGAAAAAAAAGAAGAAAAAAAACTTAATAGTTTGGGCTGTTGTTATTATGCAGGTTCCTGAAGAGCAAATTATAGAAATACCAACTTATTAAGAACTGCAAAAAACAAAATACCAAGATCAGTTTAACCAACCTAATTCCTTATTGGACAGAATTTTCTTTGTTCATTACTCCGCTATAGTAGATTTTTCTTCATATTCACACAATGTAGTCTTGAAATTTCAATTTCAAATGTTTAAGATAGACATATTTCCAATTACATCAGGTGATGCTACATGTATCTTACCATCAGGGGGGGCATTTTCACATTTCTTCTCGGGATCGCTTGTCTTTGCCATGGTTATCTAGAACGGAAGGATAATATGTACTTTAGTTATGAATCAATAAACACAATAGTAATATGTACTTAAGTTATAGATCAACAAAAAACATAAACTGTACTAAAAGATGGATGCAGCACAGTTAACAAAGAAACAAAATACACAGGGTTGAAGAAATAACAAGGGAAACGTTCTCTGGGTCTCGCCTGCATTACGCAATTCAATATGATGAACAAGGGAAACGTTCTCGGCGGTCTCGCCAGCATTACGCAATTCAATATGATGAACAAGGGAAACGCTCTCGACGGTCTCGCCTGCATTACACAATTCAATATGATGAAAAATTGAGGTTGGAACATTATTTATAGGCAGGGTGGCCCATTAGCAGGCCCCCTAAAAATGAAATCCTCTGAATAAAATCAGCATTTTGAAGTGACTATTGACTAAGAATCTTGAACAAATAGCAAAAATTGATTCATTTATTCTCATATTAAGTTGTGAAAACATAATCCAAGTCTACTAACCTAAATTTCCTAAAATGACCTTTGACCTTGTGATACTTGATAACCCTTGGGTACAAGTTTCATGCAATTTGAACGAACACTTTTGAAAATATGCTAAAAATTCAAAATCTTGATGTTGATGCCACAAAAAAGTCTAAGTTTGTTGAGCTAAAATGACCTTTGACCTTAACTTAGTGACCTGAATTTTACTCACATGATTGGGGATACTTGATAATCCTATAGTACAAGTTTCATTGACTAAGGACTTTTACTTTTAAAATTATATCAAAAATTCAAAAACTTAACCTTAGGTTTAAGTTTTTGATGTTGACGCCACCGCCGTTATTTCAACTCAACATACCAATACTGACAACTACAAGGTCCGTATCCGGACACCTACCCCCTGGACATCCATCCCCGGATAACCATGGCATCCCTAGTCAAGTACACCCTCGGACAACTACCCCCTAAGTAAGGCAACCTCCCACTAGGATTACCCCCCCCCCCCCCCCCGGAACAATTCCCCTCGGTCAACTATCCCTTTATAGGACAACTATCCCCTGGGATAGGTGTCCGGTGGGTGGATGTCCTAGAGGATGGTTAATTGTCGTAGGGGTTAGTTGTCCGGGGAGTAGTACTTTATATGTGTTTGATGACTGACAAAATTTATTAAACACTTTCTTTATAGTCATATGCATGAATTGAAGAGACAGAGCCCTTCTCAACCTCTTGCATATTCAGCAGTTTCGAGCAAACGGTGCTCTATATCATGAATATTTCATATTTGCTCCGTCGCTACCGTGCATGCGTACTTCCTCTTTGCTACATGTATGTTGAATCCACGATACAACATGAATCAATGAATCGTCGGATTAGGATGAAGAATCATCCTTTTTCCCAGCGAAGACTTCTTCAAATTATAAGTTCAAGTGGTTGGAAAGACAGTCTTTAGGCTTTAAGTCTAAATTGTAATTATAGACTAATGGGTACATTGCGAAAAAAATGTGACCCAACCCGCTGTTTGATTTGTTTCCAGAAACTGACTCTCGAGCTCTGACGCCTTCGAAATCGGAGCTCCCTGGAGTCAGGCCTCTCGCCAAGAAGTTAAAAAGGCGTGGCGCGATCCGAGGGAAAATTTGACTCCCCCCCCCCCAAAAAAAAAAGGAAAAAAAAAAAGAAGATTCAAATTTTTTTTGTTGTTGATTTTTTAAATGTTTTTCTTTACATGTAAGTTCACATGTATTACTGGTACAGGCGGTCTCGCCTGCATTACATAATTCAAAATGATGAAAAAGTAAGGTTGGAACATTATTTATAGGCAGGGTGGCCCATTTACAGGCCCAAAAAATGAAATCCTCTGAATATAATCATCATTTTGAAGTGAATATTGACTAAGAATCATCAGAAGAATTATTTACTATTAATTGTAGGGGGAGGGAATCATATGCCTAGTAGTAATATGTAAGAGGGAGTTGAAGACGATTTGAACTTTGAAGTATAAAGCCGTCATCAAGTGACTTTGTACATGCTTGCAATTAGTTTTTTCTCGCATATGGCATTCAGAGACGCCAAGTTCAAAGATGGGCAAAGCATGACATTTTCATGATTCGGCACGCAAGCGCGCGTGCGAGGGTATAACACACGTATAAGGTATAGCGTTTTTTTCAAAATCTAGCGCACGTGTCGTGCGTAAGAGCATTTCCAGACCCTCCAAATGCGAGATGTCACGCCTAATGCGTGATACTTGGTAGCTCTGGGCATTGCAGAAAAGGAACGAAGAACTAGAAAGGAAGAAACAAACAAATTGAGAAAGAAAGAAAGAATGAAACAATACTGAAGAAAGTAGAGAAAGAAAGAAATGAAGGAAAAGTTGGAAAATATCTCTTTCTTTGGCAAGCTCTGTATCCTGTACAAAAGTGGTTCAGCATGCGCAGTAGCATTGTAAGGTAATGGTTGTCTTTTTCAGCCATACGGCTGCGTCTACGTTTTCCTTAAAAAGGGGTGTTTTTTCAATCACTGATCGCACAAAACCTCCAAAAAGGGTACCTTTTAAGATCACAGGTTTCGGCGCTATTGTAGTTCCGTAGATTTATCCATTTTTTTTTTAGCAGTTTCATATCCATTCTTAGCAAAGGAAATTTACCCAATTTTTCACTCATTTTATTCATAATCATATAGACTATCACATTTTCCACCTGAATTTGGATTTGGATCGAAATCGGAAAGCCTCCGTTTAAGGCTTCGATGTCGACGTCGTCGCTCAGTACCGTCTCTACGCTATAGCTTTGCAACTCAAACTGAAGCTAGTCTATATCTAGATCTAGCCTAGTAGTATAGGCATAGGTCTAGCCTATATCAGTCCAAAATTATGCAAACTTCTTGTATGGTTTATGCATAGAGATACGATTGTAGTCTAGATCTACATGTATATTAATAAGGTTTATGGTATTATGCGCATGCACGATACCATAACCCATACGAGAAGTTTAAAAGACATTTTGCCTGAAATACCGGCATCAGGAAAGCCATCTAAATTTGTCACAAATTAGCGACAAACACACCAAATTCAGCGCTGCAATGACGCAAAAAACGGCGTAGAATTCAACTTTTCATCCACCAAATGAATTCAGACACTTTCATTGTACAATCTTCAATAGGCCTACCTGTATCACCGTTATCGCAAATAATAAAATCACCTAGACCTATCTATAAGGTACTTGGTACTTGGTTGTTGTTCCTCCAAAATATTCCTAGACCTAGTGGAATTTAAACTGGAGGTCGTGGTGGCAGAGGGTGGACTTATTTCGAGGGTGGACTTTTTTGCTGAGTCACGTCAGTCAGGGATACTAATGCCGAATCGAGATCATTCCATGCTCTGAAGACTAACAATATGGTAGGGTATTCTGCCCGAAATAATTAGGCAGCCAATAATTAATAGAACCTAGCAAATGTCTTACCAGAGCGATACAGCTTAATTAGCTCCCTTTTCACGTGTAACGTGTGACTTTACGATCTCTACTACTACTAGTCTACACGTGGTGCCGGTGTTGTCCTCTGAATGGCACTTCCGTAATAATATTATGCTGCTAGCGCGCGTAGAGTATACTATATAGGAAATACGGCCAGGTGGTAGGCATTTGCCGGTACGCGTCTTATTTTTTCGTACCACGGCGAGCCCGGATTCCTGTTTTATCATGAATATTCATTAGGCAGGGCCGGGGAAAGTCTCGATTCTCTTGAATATTCATGTATGATCGAGGCATGCGCAGCATCGAATATCGTGTGTAACAAGTACGTTGGATTAATGGCAGGCCTATAATATGACATAGAAAAGCAATGTCATGGTCATTTAGATAATACAGTCATAAATGCTGTGTTTAATTACTAGTAAATGCCAAAATGTCAGTACCGGTAGACAAGATATATAGCATATATTTCAAGTAAGAGTCTTGATAGGCAATTTGTGAGTAGCCTAGGCCTACTTTTCTGAGATTAATGGGAGTCTAGTTCTTTTCATGAATTGGTAAATAATCAGTTCTAGGTTTGCTTTTTAAATATTACAAGCAGAGGTTGCATTATGGTATTGAATATGTGATACAGTATTATAAACTGTATAAAATAGATAACAAGAATAGGCCTACATACAGACATTTATCAAAAATAAAATACTTGTGTATTGCACTTAAATTATTTCTATGATCTATGCTCACTTAACTGCATAAGGAAGAAAAGGAAGAAAGAAAAATGGGATTAGAAAGAAGAATAACAAAGTTAAAAAGTAAAATATATATAAATAATAAATGAATGGAAGAAATAAAGAATACGGAATATATAGATACCAAGGAAGAAAGAAATAAATTGCAAGAAAATTGAAATGAAAAGAAGACAAAAGAAAAAGGGAAAGGAGCAAGATAATATTGATACCATATCTTCAATCTTGTTTTCTTTTATCTTGCCTCTTGTTTTTGTTTAGGCCTAGCTACCATTTTTTCCTTTCCTTTCTCTTTTTCTCTTAAAAGTTCTCTTTAGTTTCTTTCTAAAATAATGAGGGAAGGGGGGGGGGGGGGTGGGGGACTCGATGATAATTCATCATTTGAAGGTTTACAATGTGAAGTCCACGATTTATATGCACCCACTGAAGAAAATCCATGTACAGGGTTGCTGCAGGAACCCCAGCACCCACAGATCCCACGCATGATGAGACAAACTCGAGAGAAAACTACACATTCTTTCACATACATTGAAGAAAAAAAAGAAGAAAAAAAAATCCAAGATCGGTTGAACTCTTTTTGACCCCTCCCCAGGACGTCGATCAATTACATGTATGTGCCCCCCCCCCAAACTCTGGCTACGGCCCTGGCGATAATTACCCACTATTCAAATCTGACAGGTGCCCCTTTTTCTTCAACAAATGCCCCTTTAACTTCATAATAAGTGCCACTGTTCCATTTTCATTAGTGCCCCTTGTGATATCTGATAAAAGCCCTTTCATTTTTTTTACTTTGACACGCGTCCCCTTAAACTTTCTAACAAGTGCCCTTTTACCTTTTGATATGTGCCCCTTTCCCTGTTTAATAGGAGCCCCAACCCCAACCCTTTCTCATAAATGCCCCTTTGACACATGCCCCCTTTTCCTTTTTGTATAATTCCCCTTTTCTCTCTTTCTCTGTCTTTCGAAAACTATCTTCTGCAAGGTTTGTTCTCTTGACTGAGCAACCTGTTGCAATTCCTTTCTGTCTCACTTTCAGTCGTACTTGTTGCCACTCATTTGCATTCACTCGTTATCAACTACCATCAACCATTCCATATTCACTCCATTACTGTCCACATTTCAATTTCATTCTCTTCACTCTCCCTTTTTGCAGCCTTTCCAGGAGCTTTGCTAGAAGTAGAACATTTTTAATGTAGAGGCCAGAGAAACCGGAAAGTATGTTAATCATTTTATTCAAATATCTAACTTGAAAAAAAGGAAAGTGAAACATTGTTTAATTACAATATATTGACATAATTTTGTTAAAGAAAAAAAATTTGAATTAACACTGGAAATTTGTAATTGGTTTGCCAGCCCCCCCCCCCCCCAAAAAAAAAAAAAAAACACTCAAAACACAACAGTGGTACCAGGGTTTTTGTTAGGAGGCCCATGTACTGTATAATTTTTATTATTAAGAATAGTTTTCTCTTTTTTTATTAATTTGACATTGGCATACCGTAAATTTCACCAGGAACCCCCTCCCGACACTGCCATTACTTCTACAAACAGTAATGCTATAATTCAAAATTTCACTTTCTAAATCCTTCTAATATAAACATATAATCATATTTGTACAGAGGATAAGATAAGAGGATAGCAAGCCCCCCCCCCCCCCCCCCACTCCCTGTTTTCTTTAGTTGGGAAGCATCGAAACATGATTCTATGAAAGCTACCAGTTTGGATACGAAAGGCAATGAGGATTAGCAGTTTCCATATTTAATGCATTTAGAGTGTTGTCTTTCAAACCTTCTTACATACAATACTTGAAGTAGCAATAATTTCATAATCTACAAAACTTCCCATACAGAAGTCCATAGAGGTAAATGAATTTTAACATGTATAATTATAATCAAAATATCATTGATTAATTCAATTTTTGATATAGACTGATAGACCTTTATCAATCAAATTTGAAGGAGAATCTTTCTGCCCAGTCCTCAGTTTCATCCTATAAGATGGTAGTTGACATTGTTAGAATTTTAATGTTTATTCGTTGAGGATTAGTTATCTTTAATTATTTGAAAGTCGACAAGATGATAAACTTCATTAGCTTTATTGAATGTAGTATTCTACAAACATATAATACAAATAACAAATAAATATCATGTAAATATTCCAGTTTAAACCCATCTCTATTGTCCCTTTCATTATATGAGGGTGGCATCTTTAAGACGTAGTCTCGTGTAGATATCTTCTGCATCCATCACTAAAGTTGTAGCCTAGTTTTCAGAAAAAAATATAACCCAAGTCTGTTGAATGGAAAAATGAAATAAGATATAAAAAAATCAACAATGACTAATAACATACACCCTGATACCTGCTCAGAAAAAGGAAGGACTGAAATTCACTTGGGGTTCTAGTGGGCAAACCTAAACTATTTTTTGTACAAGACTAGTTTAAATACTGACCGCATCTTAAATTATTACTGATGATCCCATTAAGACGATAGGCCTGCTGGAGCTCGGATCAGACAAGGTATGAAATAAGTAATACAATGTAATACAACTCGTGCTCATACCGGTAATTGAATAATACTCGGTTAAGTATGGGACATAAAATGACCAAACAACTTTGACCAGAGAATGTACTGGAAATAATGCTACTGAAACATACGTAATGTAGACTTATATTTCATCTATATTGACATTTAATTTTTAATCTAAATTACAATTGTGATATTAAGTCAATTATTCTTTTACAAGTCAACTGACAATGAAAAATATCTGTTTCAGATCTATAATTTTCTCCATGACATTTGTTCCACAAAAATGTATTGGGGGTACCTTCATGTATATTAGCACACTTGCTCGTATGAAGTGTAGTAGACCCGCATCTCTAGATATGATCCCGTCAACATCTGTTCTTTGTTCCTCTCCCGAGTTTGCAAACCAGAATGCCTTCATCATCCACTGTAGAGAGGCATCATCCTACATGAGAGAAAACAACGTAGGTACATGTACTTCAATTAAAAACTGATACTGATGGATACATATCAACCATAATACATCCTATAAACAGACTTTTATCAATCTTATTTTGTATTCTTCTTCATCTTCATTGCTCAAGAAGTGAAAGTACCCCTTACAAAAAAATAAAAAATGAGGGGTCCTGTGTATACCCTACATGTAGTGCTTACAATGTGCATTTGATATGGCTCTTCTAAACACAGGACCTCCTGTAAATAAGGACAAATTTTCCTTTGTAAACATAGAAAGAAAAGACATCAATATTTGTATACTAGGTGCAGAACTAGAATAAAATATACCCTCCACTATATATGCTTGCAATGTCAACTTAGTTCCATTTCCTTTTGAGTGAATTAATAGGTGGTCGTTTAATATGTGTGTGCTAAATAACCTGGTAACTGTACCTGCATGGGACTTTCTGCTTCATCTTGCAAATATAAGAGATGTTGTAATGTCCTCCTTCCAGCTCTTCAGTTTCAATCTTTTGGAACAAAAAGAAGAAGAAAATCAATACGACAATCAAGGCATCCCTTTCTCCTTAACAAAATAAAATAGATCTAGCATAATTCAAATTAATAGATATTTTTATGTCATGGTTGGCCTTAATTTTAATATGGTGTGGAAATCAACATTCCTATTTAATGAACCACAGTACAAAGTAAAACTAAATGGAAGATTTAACTTGTGCATCAAACAGTGGTTTCTATGGCCTATGAACACGAAGCAGTACTAAGTAGAATTAGTTTATTATCAAGTTCAAGTTCAAGTTTATTCAAACCAATCAAACACAACATTTTACAATCAATTGACACAAAAGAAATAAAAAACATGATAGGTTTGGGACCCCGGAGAAGCAGAGCTTGTGATAAGGGGCCCCTTAAAAGGTACATAAACAAAAACAAAATAACAGTATTTAGAATAACCGATGACAAAAACATATTTACAATGATAACTAATGAGTAAATATGGGAACAGAAAAAAAGATAACACACATACACATACACACCCACGCACACACACACAGACACACCCACATACACACATACACACATGGCTTTCCAGGATTTACTTTAACATATTTTGTA